CTCACCTTGCTACAAAACGACCCGGGGCCGCCCCCCTTGGTCCCCTGCGGCTTCGACACGGGGGCCTGGACCGCCGGCCGCTGGCCCCCCACCTGCCCCTTCGCCTTGGGCTTCCCCTTCTGCGTGCCCCCCCCCGACGAAGCAGCGGCGGAGCCCCCCCCCCTTCTTTTCCCGTCGCCCCCCTGAGAAACCCCTCCGCCGCGGCCCCCTCCCCCCGCCCCTTTCTTTTTGTTGTTTCCCCCCCCGCCGACTTCCGGGGGCGGGGGCGGGAGGATGCGGATGGCCGCGGCTGCCGCGGCGGCGGCCGGGTTGTGGTACGAGGCGGAGGCAGCGGCGGCGGCGCGCGAGAAGGGGGACGGCGGCGGCGGGGACAGGACCGACGATGACACCGCCGAGGACATCAACGGCGATGACAAGGGGCCCGCGCCGCCTCCGCCTCCGCCTCCGCCTCCGCCGCCGCCGCTGCTGCAGCTAGGGTGGTGCAGCATGTGGCCATGAACGCCGGCAGGAGACTTGGCGCCCCAGCGGCCGCCGCCGCCGCGTGCGCTTCTTGGTGAAGTCGCTGAGGAGAAGGATGGTCCAGCTCCTGCTTGAGAGGAGGCACCGGCCCCGGATGATGATCCCGGCACCACGTTCTCCACAAGGTCCTGTCTTGGCGGGTGCATGAAAAAAGAAGTTCCAGCGGGGGGGTTCATGGCAAAACAGGGTTCACCCGCATCATCACCACAGACCAGTGGACCACGCTTCACAAAAACGAAGGACGGAAAAATAGAAACGGCGGTGCCCACGGTGTTGATCAACCTTCGATTGTTTACCGCAGAACCTGCTTCTTTTTTCGTTTTCCAGGTGTACACATGCACAAGCAATCCATTATCTCGACTCTTTTCACCGTAAGAGTACAGCGTATTTCCCGCACACGGACATTGACCCCCCCCCGCTGCCCAGCCAAATAGACCCCGCACGCTTCAAAATAGGCAGAAAGGAACAAAAAACGCCGCTGCACTGCTACCGCCTGTCGTAAATAACGCCGCCTCCGCCGCACGCTTCTGAAACAAAAGCTTTTCTTCTTGCCTGCGAGTTGAGAGGGGGGAACAAGCCATGGTTCGCGGGTCCCGGCGTCCCCTTGCCTCCTCCTCCTCCTCCTCCTCCTCCGTCCCCGCCCCCCCCGTTGCTCCGACGTGCCGAGCGAGTGAGGTCCGACTGCGGCGTCCAGGAACGGGCGAGATGAGGCATCGAATGGAACGGGAAAGAAATCGGGCAGGACGAGGTGAGAAATTTCATGGGACGGGTGAGGCGTTTCACGGGACGAGGCGAGGCACATCGACGTGACAGGTGAGGCATTTCATAGGACGGGCAAGGCAAAGGACGGGACGAGGAGATGGATTTCATGGGACGGGTGAGGTGTTTTCACGGGACGAGGCGAGGCTCTTCCACGGGACAGATGGTGCATCGGACGGGACGGGATGAGGCACCCCACGGGATGGACCGCGCAAAAAGTGTACAGTGCTATATATGCCGAACATGAGTCAGTCAGCACCTTTCATCGGATCTGTATGGGGTACGAGAGGAAGCACCACACACCAGCAAGGAATCGGGTTATTGCTGCTCGCGATGTGGAATACAAACGTGCACCCTCTCCTTTCATCGGATCTGTATGGGGTACGAGAGGAAGCACCACACACCAGCAAGGAATCGGGTTATTGCTGCTCGCGATGTGGAATACAAACGTGCACCCTCTCCTTTCATCGGATCTGTATGGGGTACGAGAGGAAGCACCACACACCAGCAAGGAACCGGGTTATTGCTGCTCGCGATGTGGAATACAGACGTGGACCCTCTAGGAACACCGAGAGAATTGCGAAGAAGGCCGCCGGTCTATCAATCGAAAAGAGCTTGGAGAACAAGAAGGCAACACGTCCATTTGCGCGCTTAGACCCCACCGCCAGTACCACCACGGCGGGTCTGTCCGTCTTCCGGTTGACGCAAATACTCACGCACCCGTACAAACACCTTCACCTTCCGACAACACATCTCCTTTACCACCCACTGCTGTGCCCGCCACACACGTAGCTACAGTTATCCAAGCCCCCCCCCTGCAAGCCGAACAAAAACACCTCCCGACCACCCAGGGCCCGCCACACGCCCAACACACACCTGGGACCCGCTGCCTCCGGACAGCTGCAAGAGGCTCAGGGCCTGGTCGATATCCTTCCTGCTTCCCGTCGTCGGCTCCGGCGTGGCGAGAAACGGATCGTTCATCAGCGAGTCCCCCAAGGGTTGGTTAATGTGAGGATCCTCCTCCATAGCGAAGCGGTGGGTGTCGTCGAACGTCACCTGAGTGAGCCAGGCCGTGGGGGCAACAAGTTTTGGCGGGGGTCAAGACACGAGTATGTAGCAAGTTCCACCAGCTGTGATGCCCGTGGAAAAGGAAACGACAATGGAATCAATTTTGGCCCAAAAGCAATGCCGGTGGAACAGGAAACGACAACGGTGACAACTATGGTCCGGGGGGGCGGGGATAAAAGACACAAGTCACGCCGTGCTCTTATGCTGGTGGAAAAGGGAACGATGGTATGCATGGTATACAACCTTCCGATTTCGATTCCGCAAAAACAACAGCAGTCATGAGTTGGTGATGCGGGGGCCACGAGTGGAAGCAAGACGTCGAGCTGAAACGCAAGCCTCAAGACGGTTACGTACTTTGACATGGCTAGTGAGAGAGGACGGATGAAGCCCCCCAGATTCAAGCCCCAAGTCAACAAGAACTTCCCATGAAATCCGTCAATCGCGGCCACAACCCATGTCAAAGTTAAGAGCCAGACCCGTCCTGTCTCCTCGCCCCCTTCTCGTTACGGGAGCCCGTTCATGCCAAGGGTAACATCAAGCACACCAAACACAACAACACCCCCTACAGCTCGACATCGTGGGCACATACCGTTCGAAGTCGGCAGCACCAGCACCAGCAACGAGAATGCCAGCACCAGCACCAGCAGTCCTGCCAAGGAAAATACATCCCACAAGGAAATCTCATGGCAGCGACCACAACTTTCGGCCACGCGGCATCCGTCAGGCACAACGCACCTGCATGTACGCCCCGTCCTTGTGCACAGTGAGTCTGGAGTTCGACAACACTCGGGAAGCGTTCTTGGAACCGCCGTCGCTGGGGAACGGGGACGGGGCTCCGTTCTCGTCTCCGAAAGTCGCCAGCTGCGAGTAGTTGCGCTTCCTCCTGCTTTGTGTGTGCGCGCGCGTATGTGTGTGTTTCTTGTTGTTAGCATCAACAGCGCTAAGTGGCCGACAAATGTAAAGACGTCAGTCTCAGTGCGGTTGAAACCACAACATGCTTCTATAAAGGCCGTGGCTGTGCGCGTGTGTGTTTGCTACAATGGAGTCGACCGCTCTACGCGACCCGGCGAGGAATGAAAAGACGTCAGTCATGCACTACGTGCAGCCGAACAAATACGCGAAGACGGGTCCTCAACAACTACCGTTTATCACACAACCGGCCGAACCATGAAAAAGGCAAAACAACTACTATTTTCATCATAGATGCATCTCTATTCACAACAAGCCGTAACACCTTCTGTCGACAGACTATTATCTGATACATTCCGCTGTTCAATCCAATTGTGCCGGCTCGTGAACGACAAACGAAGCCAAGCGGACAGAAAAGCGGTGGAGCAATGAGAGGAGGAAAACAACAAGATACCCCCTCCCCCCACCCAAAACATAAGCCGACATACTTGGGAGATCTGGACCCGCTCGCCGCCTCTCTCCGCCTCCTGCCGGAGCCCGCTCTTGACGGCGACGATGACGGGTCCAGCTTCACGGGGGAGTTCCTACGGACCCGCGTGAAGTGGCCGTGGCGGGCGCTCGAACGAGGGGTCTTCAGGCCCGTCGAGGAGGTGTTCGACAAGGAACTCGCGGTCGTCGACGAAACGGCGGCGGTGCTGCTGCCGCTGTTGTTGCTGCGGCCGTCCTCTGACGCGCCGTTCCCGGAACCGATGCTCATGCGGCTCACGCTGCTGTCACCGCCAGCGCTGCTGCGGCGAAGGCGGAGGTTCGGCGTCGCGCGGGCGCAGCTCCCGGGAGCGGTAGCGCCGCCGCCGTGGCTGCCATTGCTGCTGCGCCGAGCCGTTGATCCCCCGAAGGGGGTCATGCTGCTGTTGCTCTCGAGACTCTGCAGCAACCGATTTTGCGCGTGGACCAAGGTCAATGAACATTCTTTTTTGGGATAACGAAGTCATGCTGCAGCCTGTGCGTGCGGCGACGCGTGAAAATAATCTCACCCGGACGGAAAGACGTCTGTTGAGAAGCAAGACGACCTGTTTGATGTACACGCCGGACTGCTGTGCGCTGCTGTGAATGACTTTCGAACAAGACTTTCAGCAGTCTTAACAGCAGCAGCAGTCTGCAACAGCAGCGCAGTAGTTTGTGCCAGTGGTGCAACAGCACAACTCGTTCAAGGAGTTCAACGATTACGTTTTCACCTAGTAAATGCACAAGGTGAACAAACGGACACACCGCAAGACAACCCCCCCAATTGCATCAAACATCCGAGGATATGTGCGCAAGGACAGCACTTGTTGAGGGTTGCAGCCGACCGACCCTTCAATAGTCTTCTACGTGTGCAATAACGGCAGAATTAAACAATAATCCGTCTGTGACAGACTGCTCAGGGCCTCTCAGACAACGCGTTCGCCAGTGGGAACTTGAAACCACTGCGTAGGGTATTGCCCTACTCCTGACTGCTGAAACTTCATCCAAGACAAGTACGGACATGTTTCCCAACCACACCATCTCGGTACAGGGGCAACAACTGCCTGGTGCAACTCCAATAGTCGACGAGAAAGCGGCTGAGATTGTGACATACTTTGCTGTAGCGCGGGTGCCTGTCTCGCTACAAGCATAAGGCTCAGCAAGTAACCGACGACCATTGTCCGCTGTGCGCAAGAGAGGCTCGTGCTACACCGCTGCTGCCGTGTACCAAGAGCGTACGAGGGGGATGGAGTCACTTGGAAGACAGAAAACGAGAAAGAACATAAGTTGGGCGACTTGCTGTGTACACATAGCTTCGTTTCGAACAGATGGTGTGAACACGCTACCGGCACACTACCCCCCAACCGACAATGCAACCGCTGAAAAGGAAGTGTGGTGTGGGGCGGATATGCGTCGGGAAAGTGAGAGGCTCGTCCGCCAAAGCCCGGCCATAGCACTTTTCTTGGCGTGCGTGAACGGCAATTTGAAAAATGGCGGCGGATGTCACGGGGAAGGCAGGCAGACGTTTTCGCCACAAAATCGTCCCAATGAGATGGCACAGAAAGAAGAGTGCTGCTTGCGCAACTAGCAACCCGTGGCTAGCCGAACGTTGCTGTGGGGTCGAGGTTCTCCAGACCCAAGGAGCAGCGCGCAGGGAGGAGCCGCACCGTCATGGGGACAATATACGAACCCTTTTTTCTGCCAACAAACAGCTGACGACCTAAGGGCAGGGCAAAAGGGACACAAGCTCACCTGCCGTTTGTCGAGGTGCAACGGCTGGCCGTCTGGGGAAAAGGTGCCAAGGGACTCCATAAACTTGTCCAGCGAGTAGTTCGACTCGAACGCGCCCCCGCTTCTTGCCCTACCACCGCTGCCGCCACCGCCGCCGGACATGGGTGAGTTCAGCGAGGCCGGTGAGCACCCTACCATCTCCTCCCGTCTTCCTCCTCCTGGCGACTCCGCGCTTCGACGTTTGTCCGCCATACTCCCCTCTCTCTCCCTCTCTCTCGCCTCTAGCCTCAAGCGGCCCGCTCTAGCTTCGAGCTGATGCTGAAGATTCAACTGCTGGCGGTTTGTGGATACCAGTGCTCGACGAGACGGGGAGAGCTGGAGGGCACCCTCCAGGTTGTTGCGCGCCGAGGTAAAAAAAAAGTGCAAAATCGCAAACGGCCAAGTTGCTTTTATTGAAGAGAAGGGGTGCCGAGAAAAAAGAAAAAAAAACGTGAAAAAAGGTTCGAGATGGCGTTCGTGTTGCTCTTCGGGGCGATCGGTCGTTCACAACGGCGTGTCGCAGCACAAAACAGAGGGCACAACAGACATCCAGACGCCAGAGAACGACACCGAGCAGCGTACCAGAAGCGGCCCGGGGCGGGGAGCGTACCACGGGTGCAGCATTCGGAGAGTGCATGTCGGAGCAACCGTCTCCTTCGTGGTGTACCGTATTCCTCCTGCACAGCACAAGTCATCTGCTTGCTGCTGCTGCTGCTGCGAGCTGGCGAATGCCAAACCGATAGAAATTTGAGGAAAACGGTGTGTCAGTCCAAGATACAGACTACTGAGCACGAAGATTTACTCCGGCGCACTGCTGGAGCTTGCAGTGCACATTGCATTGTCCTTCTCGACGGCAAGGGCGGTTTGGTGTTGGGGCGAGAGAAGAGGGCGTCGTCGTTATCCGGGCGCATAAGCTGATTTGCTCCCAGGTATGCACTTCAACCAAGGGTGCCGTTCGAAACACAGCACGTCACGTCAGGTTTTCTCGGGTCGATAGGACTAGACTACGGCTGTGCGTCAGAGAGGAGAAATCACAGAAGTTCAAGATGACCAAAATCGGAAAGATGATTGACTCTCTGGAGAATGTTTGCTTGGTCCTTGAGAAAATGGCGGCGATCGTGTGTCCTTTCGGCTGAACGTCACGTACCCTCAGACGGTCCTTCACCCACTGACCACACCACCGCAGAATAGCAGTGTTACTAGATAGGGCGGGGTAATGGGCCGCGGGGTAGCCGACTCAATACCTTGCAGTTGTCTATCTGCGATGATTTTTGCGGTGGCCAGTGCACCCGACCGTTGAATATTGCCTCCGAGTCATCATCAAGAACAACAAAAAGGATGTTCTTCCTCTGCAACACACGGATGGCCGTTTGGATTCGTGCGCTGCAGCAGTAGTCTTTCCGTATATTTCACAAGATACCACACCCTGGACCAACTTCTAAGGCTCGGTTGCTCCACACCACAAAGGGTGGCGGTGCTGAAAATGGTGGTGTTGGAACCGTCTCGTCAAGAGCTTTCCGACAACGTCTCGCTGAGTTTACGCATCCTGCTCGTCGTGGAACAATCGAGCTGAAAAAAATCGATACAGGGGGTGTGGTAACTTATGTCACCGATGGTACAGCAGTAGACACACATGCGTTCCATATCGGAGGTGACCCCTTCCCGCACACCGAAGCAACAGCAATAACAAATGTATCCGCCACGAGCTGTGTCCATGCTTCGTCTTGTGTGGTGATTGATACAGACCAGTAGGATCCACGTAGGACGCTCAGAAATTGCGAGCGCGAGAGTGTGGGACGGCTCGAAAAAAAGCTGCCGCGTCTGCTGGGATCAGTCATAGGTTTTTTCCGCTCTGTCTGGCGAAGGTTGGGATTTACTGACACTCTCCACACACCTAAGCAACAGCAATGACAATGACATCCGCCACTAGCTCTGTGTGTGGCTTCCTTCCCCGGCCAGTCCCTTCTTGCCAATCCCGGCAGTGTTGCATATGTCACTGAGTGCTACCTCTGTTTCTCCTGGTGTGAACCAAGCATCCGTGTGTGTCTGTTGGGTGGGACATCTACGATGCCTTGACTTTCATTTTCTCTACAACTCCGCGGGGGTCGGGGTGAAAATCTCCAATGGTTTTTGGGCACAGATGCCGGTGAAGCCCGTCCATCTGCTGTCGGAGCACGACCAAGCCGGTGTGGTGAAGAGCGCCCTATTTTTCTTGTCCCTCAAAAGCCAGCAGATCGTCAATCGGTGCTCTACAGACCTCGTGCTGGTCGAAAAGGATGGAAAATTCAGGCGGTCGTTCATTGCAACATGGGTCCCTGGTAGATAGAGCCTACTTTTTTCCCTCCTCGGACCAAGGAAAAAGAACGGGCGCGCTTCGCGCTCTGCGGCTTATGACAGAACGGGTCCGCAAGTAACAAAACATATGTGAAGAACGAAGCTCTAATCCTAACGAAGAATCAGAACAAAGGGCTGAGAAACACAGCTCAATCTCACCCACAACATTAGAAACGCCTAAAAAGAAAAAACATTATCGTGCGATACCCCCATGACAAAAGAAACAAGGGGTAGCCGGGGGAGCGTGTCCAATAGGAAAGGTCCCACTGTTGCTGCTGCTGCTGCTGCTGCTGCTGTTGCCACCGTGCTCCCACCACGTATCTAGCTCATGCCATGTAATAAATTGGTAGGGGGGGACGGCAGTGGCTAATTTCGCGGCGCCCCCCCGTGCCCCAGCGCCGACCTGGGATGCGCTACCAATTGCTGCTGTGCTGTTGTACTGCCACAACCCCCAACGTTGGCTACACCGAGCTGTCGGTATTACGCTCAGGATGGCTTGGTGGCTTCTTGTTGTTTTCCTCGCCAGAAATGAGAAAATAATAGATTCAATAACATGCAACAACCCCAAGGAACAAGAAATTGGCCGACTTCGGCTGGTGTTTCTTCCCAAAATAGGAAACGAGGCTCGACCCAAATTTGACGTTTCTCTCCGGGCCCGTTCTGTAATACGCACACACATCTGCATCTCGGCGTACAATACTATCAGTCTGTGCTGTAGATGTATGTCTGTTCGCGAAGAGAAGATAAGAGAACTAGTTTGGCCGGGGTAGTGAAAAACCATCGACGATAAAGGACCGTGTATTATGTATATATCCGTCACGCAAGCACCTCAGGCAAGTGCCGGGAGCACACCGCCGTGTGCTTACCCGGGGGGACCGCACTTGGACTCCAACCGCATACATACCCATCACACCCATACTTCCCATACGCGTATCCCCCACAGAGGATGCACAGATCGGACTCATATCCAAGTACCACAAACAGACGACAACGCACCCCGGTGTCAAAGCAGTGCGAGGATAGTTCAGTCGGGATTACTAATGGTTCCCGTGCGCACAAGGAGCACCCGTCTATTGCTGTGGTCTAAAACAGCAGCCGTCCTCCTGTGATCAGCTCACTGACTCTTCTAGGTCTCAAATTGAGAGCGCCACCAAAACAAGCCTGAATCTCTCGACGATTGGTCTCCGTATCCACTAATGGTAGCCACACGACGGACAGTAATCTATGGCTAGCTCAGGTTGGGTAGCATCGGCAAACTTTCAATCGCCCGGGCGTGTTAGATGCCAACTTGATGTGTGCGGCAAACCAGCCCAGAGAGCTCGACGAAGCCGCGGCAGGTACCTTTTTCGTGAACTCTCTTGGTCGATTTCTAAGAGTCTAACCGCTTCCCGGCCTCTATCAGCAACCACACACACAAGACGCACCGTACACACAGCTTGTGCGGGGTAGCGTTGTCAATGCTGCTGATTCAGTTGTCGGTTCTCGCCCACCCCAGTTTCCGTGCTTCGTATTGTTTCGTGGTTTCTATCAGCCGCCACACAACACATAGCATACGCATTACGCACAGCTCGTGAGGGATAGCTTTGCAACTGTTGTCGCGTCAATGCAGAGAGGTTGCCGAAAAGACTTGTAGGTGGCAAAGTTGCACCAATCGTTGCAAAGCTATTATCTCTTGGTCGATGACTCGGAGGACCCCAGAAAGATCGACTGTAAAAAGTGTGTCATCCAAAACAGCTATCCTAAGTCAGTCCAAAACCGTCAACATAGGACAACTCTTGTGGGTTGCGAAAGATGAGGCCTCATGGAATACAAGATTGATCGCGTGTTCTCCCCCGAACCGGTAATTTAGCAACACCGTTGAAATATTAAACGTATTCTGCTTTCTTTGGCTATATATTGTGACCGTTGAAACTTATTTCTCCCCCAAAACATTTTATGAAATGCATCGTACTTGGCAGCGATCACAATGGCTACCGTGACAATGACGCCAACAAGTCGATGTCGAAAAATATTGACATACCGCAGCTGCTGTGTCGGCAAACCTCATTTTTCTCCACAACGTTTTCGGCTCTTATCTTGCACTCTACGCATGTGTAGTAGAATTGACAAAATGGGGTGTGCCCCGCGTTTTTAGGCACCAATTGGGGTTCATTTTTTGGTGTGGGGCGCAACGCCTGACGCCAGGTAGGCACCACAAAACCGCGTTCCAACGAAAGTAGCAGCATGCGCCAGGTCCTAAAGAAGGACGTCCAACTTTTGTTTTTGCACCCACAGGAACAGGGATAACTAGGGCTTGGAAGAGAGGAGCTCGTTGGAGAACCCCATTTGGTTCACGCAACCACAGGGTACAGCCCCCTGTACCCTATACTGTTCACAAACATACCCCACAATGTTCCAGGCATTCCGCTTTTTTTCAGGAGTGACGCTCCTGCGGACAGCCAAAATTGCAACCAACGGCAGACCACCAGCCTCTATATCTTCTGTCTCCTTGTCGCGCCGCAGCAACAAAATCTGCGCGTTGCACCGCAAACCACCATATCTCCGTATCCTCTTTCTGCTTGTCGCGCCGCAGACCACAACACCAGCGTACTGCACCACAGACCACCATGGCTGTGACGACATTTTGGGGTATGCTTGTGAACAACATGGGGTTATAGCAAGGTACAGACAAACGTTTACCAGACAGGGGGTAAAATGATTCCTCCAACGAGCTCCCCTCTTCCAGGCCCTAGAGAACCCTGTTCCCGTGGGTGAAAAAAAACAAAACGTTGGGCGTATTTCCTGTGGACCTGGCGCATACGGCTGAAGCATCACAAGGCGGTTTGAAGGAGTCCACCCGGCATCAGGCGTTCCACCCCACACCGAAGAAAAACACACCCCGTTGTGTGCCTAAACACGCGGAGTATACTCCATTTTGTCCAAGGTATGCCCCCCCCGGTGTTTGCCATCGGGGTTGGGTTTTCGTCGCTTGACAACGACGTTGTAAAACAAGCC